ATTATCTGACGGAATAATTCGTAACTTAGAGCAAGTCGGTGTAGACTGGACGCTCACTTTCTGAGAAACTACTGTACACATAATCACGATTGTTTTCGCGGCATCAGTTTCGCCTGGCTCATATTTACCGTTAACTTCTAAACCTCCCCGTTCGCAGATTTAAAAAATGATTTTATTTCTGTTTGTCGATATGAATATGGAGCTGAAAGGCGACAGCCTAATCTAAATAATAATTTTTTTCATTCAAGAACCGTGGGGGTCATTTTATAGCAAGTAAGAATACTTTTTACATTAATTTTATAATTTTAGACGAGGCATACAGAATTTACACAATACTAAATTCATAGTAATTGAATTAGTAGTATGATTCGAAGAAAGTTGAGCAGCAGTGAAAAAACACCTTACATAAACAAAATGAGTATGATGGGATTTGCAGTATGGAAAAAAACAGTTGCTTCTCAATATATAAAAAGCAGGCAGGACCGGCCTGTATATGACAGTGTGTAACGGATTTCATGAAGGGGTAAGTAGACAGGTCAGGCAGGACTGGCCTGCATGTGGCCTTGAGTAAATGGTTCGAGACGGGCATTATCAAGGCGGAATTCATATGCCGGATGAGGCCATCCATGGCAAAGTGGCGAAACTGGCATAAAATGACTTAGTTTTTCGTGTCTCGATACCTTCACTATCTACCGAGCACCCATAACAGAACAAATCACCGACACTGATATATTGTGAGAGACGGACAAATTTTTCAGCCGACCTTTTATAATGGGCATATGGGAATTCGACGCGCTGTGAATTAACTGGAACACCGTTCAAGCGTCAGGACAAAAATCTACCTCTGAACAGTATTCGCTGCACAAAACATTGAAGGCGCTTCCCGCACAACATGTAACGTTTCCAACGAGAGCACGTGAAGGGCAACAGGCTAACTGCCTGGATCTCTAAATTTAAGTTTATTCGGTTTATTCAATAATGATGACAGATAAGGCCTTTGAAAAACCGATTGGCTATATGCCAGTGCCAATAGAAGCGAATAGACGAGTCCCAGGAAGTAGCTTTGAGGAAGGAGACACGATCGCCGGGACAAGAGATTTATTAGCCTGACGTTTCGGATTCCTACTCGAAACCATCATCAGAGACAGAAAAGCAGAAACGGGTGTTTGTTGCACAAGGGGCTGCGGTATTTATAGGATGCAGTGGCCATG